CAACCAGACGGGCGTGTGCATGGGTAAGCGCCCGCGGCCCCGGAGGAGGAGCGCGGCGGGGCCCGGCCGGGTCGGGGCGCCGCGTCGGGGTCGCACTTGGTCTGTGCGGGGAGGGAGAGAAGCGCTCGCGTCCTGCCTCCCTGGAGCGGAGTCTAAGAGACGGGGCGAGGTAGAGGGGAGGGCGGGCGACATCATTTCCTTTGCACATTTCTAGGGGGCCCTTGGGGGTGATGGCAGCTGGGGCTCACTCATGCCTACGGCCCCCTGCGCGCAGCAGGCCTGTTTTCACACCTGTAACCGTTCGCTTTGAGCTGGTGCAGCTCCTCACCTCCTGGGGGGACTCTGTCACCCCTGTCAGGTCTGCAGCCAGCCAGCCAGTCCAAGCTCATGAAATTCAATCAATTCAGGATCGATTTCCCACGAGGCGGACCGCTGCAGTGGAGGCCGCCCCTGCTGCCCTCCCTGGATAGCAGACTCTTGATGATTGGTTGCGCTTCAGTGCCAAGAATCCGTCACTGGTCCCAGTCTGCCCAGTTAACCTATTTTTTTTTTTTTGTTTGGTTTGGTTTGGCTTTTTGTTTTTTTGTTTTTTTTCCGGTACCAGGAATCGAACTCACGATCTTGCGTTTGCCAGGCAGGCGCTGTGCAGCTGAGCTAAATCCCCAGCCCCAGTTAACCTATTTGGAGAGTATGAATTGCACGGTTTTTTTTTAAAGTCTGAACTACCCCGGTAGAAGAATCTAAGGTGGTTCTTGCACAAATACTATCTTTGGCCTCAGGAGTGTAGCTTCACGATTGTTATTCTTTTTATCTTATAAATGGAAAGGTTTGGGGGAGAATCTCAAAAGAAGGCAGTAGAGGATGTTTTAGAAGCCACCCGTCGGCCAGCTCACTTACACTGCAGTGTGGGGTTTACAGCGTGCCTCTTCCCTCCTGCAAAGGGGCGAGGTGCGTGTAGGAGCCAGATAGTCCTGGGGCTCCTTCTTGCTCCGGGAGGACGTCTCTCCCCTCGGAGGTGCCCGGGAAACCGCATTGCCATACCCAGAAGGACCCCGCTGGGACAGGTCCTGCAGTTCTCACCCGGCACCCCGGTGCTCTGTGCTCTTGTTCCCCCTTCTCTTGCCTCTTCCCTCTTCCTCCAATGTTCAGTGCTAGAAGGAGACAACTGCGTGTTCGACGGGGTCATCTACCGCAGCGGGGAGAAGTTCGAGCCCAACTGCCAGTACCACTGCACCTGCCGAGACGGGCAGATTGGCTGTGTGCCCCGCTGCCAGCTGGACGTGCTGCTGCCGGGGCCCGACTGCCCGGCTCCCAGAAAAGTGGCGGTGCCGGGAGAGTGCTGTGAGAAGTGGACTTGTGGCCCCCCTGAGAACGGGGGCCTGGGCAGCCTGGCCCTTCCAGGTGAGAAACGCAGGTCCGTGTGGTCAGGCGCGGTGGAGGCGGCAGAGGGCAGGTGTGAGCCTCTGGTTTGAGGTGAAACGTCGCCTGGTTTCAGCCCTGCTGCGGTGGATTCCAGACGCCCTGAAAAGTCTGAGCTGCTTTGTGAGAGTACCACACAATTTCTCCTAAAGAGAACCTGAGAGATTTAGTTGCCTTTCTGTCTTATTGTTGCCTTATTTGCTGACTATTATTTGCGTTTTAGTCCATCCATCCCGAACGGTCCTTGTTAGCACTACAAAGCCAAAAGTCAGAACCTTCTGTCTTATCTGAACTCTGCACACACTCTCTCTGCTCTCAGGAGCTGCAGCTTCTCCCTCCACAGGTATCACACAGAAATGTCCTCTTTCCAGATGCCATGGCAACGCTCAAGTGACAGTTCAGGACCTGTTGTTCTTCCTGCACTATCTTATAAATGCCATAGTTTGGGGGGGGGCGTATCTCAGAGGGCAGTAAAGAATACTTTGCATGCCATTTTCACCCAGATTATTTATATTGGGAGCATCCCAAGTTTTAGTCTTTCTGTGGTCGGAAATTATTGGCCATGCCTCACAGATAGGAAAACTGCTACGTAGACGAGATAGCCCCAAGCCGTACATGCGGTGTGGAGACATTTTGCAACCAGCACTGAAGTGCATGCGTGTGTGTGTGTGTGTGTGTGTGTGTGTGTAACAAGCTGTACCAACTGAAAACAAAACACTACTTTCAGGACTATTTTGACTTGACTAGTTCCATTTATACATCAAAATTAAAGTTTTATCATATCCTTATTACATACGGAACCTCATGGTGAGCGAGCTGAGCGTATAGCTGTTTGGTAATGCATGCTCAGCATACTGGAGGTTCTGGGTTCAACCCCAGCACTGCCAAAATCACATGTTGAAAGCACTGCAGCTTCCAGAGCAGTTGTTGGCGATACGCTGTTCTGCATTCTCAGAGCCACCGAGCTTCTTAAAGGCGAGTTGTGTTCAGGTCATGTGAGCAGTCATCCCGCGCAAGGATGGTTTCAAATCTTACCATGTGTCAGCTTTGTAGTTGCTGCTTGGGTTTTATAACTAGATCCGGTTCTGTGCCCTTGGAGCACAGGGGTTCGGTGGGTACAGAGCTGAACAAGATCCACTTTCTAACACTGGTTAAGGGGCCACCTTCAGACGTCCCACATGTTGCCCAAGAGTGCTCTCTCCTACCTCCCGTAGCCTACAGGCCAGAGGCCACAGTGGGAGTCGAAGTGTCTGACTCCAGCATCAACTGCATCGAGCAGACCACGGAGTGGAGCGCGTGCTCCAGGAGCTGCGGCATGGGCTTCTCCAGCCGGGTCACCAACAGGAACCGGCAGTGTGACATGGTGAAGCAGACGCGGCTGTGCATGGTTCGGCCCTGTGAACCAGAGCCTGAGCAGCCCGTGGAGAAGGTAAGAACATTGGGGAAGCGACCCAGAGGTTAGTGCCGGCCAGGTGTTCGCGCCAGAGAAAGGGCACAGCGATTCTGGAATCCAGGCGGAGTACCTTCTGGTTTTCCTTTTTAATGCACTGTATTTCAGTACCACACAACTCACAGCAGATCCACAGGGAGGAGGATGGGACCAAGCAACTAAACTACTTTATCCTAGTCAAGAATGGCTGGCAGATCCCGTTCCACTCCAGGAGAACACTGGCTTCAAGTTGTCAGACACAGCTGCATTTAGAGAGGGGTTTCAGGCTAGTTTCCTTCACCTCTCGGCTTAGGTTCATGCTGGTGAGGCAGCAGGGTAGAGACTGCATCCTCCTCCTCCACCCCACAACTCCCAGCACCCAACCTGCTGTGAGAGCAACCACTGTTGATGAGTATATGAATGGGTATCTGGGAATGACTGTCGTTATTTTTAGTAGCTTGGTGGAAATAATAAATTTACCAGCATAAAACAACGTGAGCCAAATAAAACAGTGCATTTCTTTCTCTTTTGCTGGAATTCTATCAACTGGGGAAGTGAGCTCTGTGTCAGGCATGCAGATTAGAAGCTCTGACTGCTTCCTGGTGACATCTCGAGCCTCCCTGCCATCAGACAAATGGAGCCACCTCACTGAGCCACTGTACAGACCTTTGCACAAACCCAAGGCCCAAATAAAACACCCTAGAGATTCAAGATTTACAGAGCTCTCCACCACAGCAGTGGCGCCATTCCTGCACTTAAAGGGAAGACTCTATGGCCACACAACTTGGCTTCATATCCTGTGCATCAATGTGAATTAACTGTGCGACCCTGGGCAGTTTTCTTTCCCTCCCAGCCTAACTTCTTTCCCCTCGTACGGGTCATTAAAAACATCTCCCTTGGGGCTGGGGATTTAGCTCAGCAGCAAAGCACCTGCCTGGCAAGCGCAAGGTCGTGAGTTCGGTTCCCAGTACCGGAGAAAAACCAAAAAAAACATTTCCCTTAAGGTTATCCTGAGGATTAAGTAGAGTGACTTAGCCAAGAGCTGCGCATAGACTAAATACGCTGTTAACATTAGTTGTCCTTTCTTAAAATGGTAAGTGGCATTTACTGGTAAAATATGGGTCCTTGTGGTTGTATTAGTATTGTCTGTGGCCAGTTAGCTCTATGATTTCTTTTGGTCCATTATAACTTTGCGTTTCTTCTACCAACTTAGAATACCTAGAAACACCCTTCCTGTAAGACTGTACCCTAGGAGATGCACCTTCACCCACCTACGAAACATGTATAACATAGTCAGGTTCACCCACACAAGCAGTCTCACACACACACACACACACACACACACACACACAGGGATGTAAGGATGTTGCTGGCTTCTGCCTTTTTCTCCTGATTGACAAGCATATAAGCTAAATATTAAAACATTAAACACACAAAAGGGGGGAAACAAGAAGCTTTGAAATATTTCCAAGGGCACAGTAAATTCTTTACTAAATAAGGCTTTTGCATCTTATATCTGTAAAATTTGGCTTTTTCTATTGTTTCTTTGCACAAAATTGATATTTCTTTCTTGTAAGTTGCACCCCACTTAATACTGGTAGATATATATTTAGCTGTTCATTTATAATGTGCATATTTCATAAAGGTTCTACAAATATGTTTGGAATTATAGGGAAGTACTAGCTTAATAGTCATTTCTACCTTACTTCCGAGGGATTCTTAAACTTGAGACAATAATTCTTGGAGTGTACACCCTGCAGCAGCATCTCAGAGCTTGTAAGAAGTGCACTTCTCTGAGTTCCATGGCATAAATGCTAAATACAGAACTCTGGACGCAAGGCCCAGCGATCTGTGTCTTAACAGGCAGTCTAGGTGATTCCAGTGCACACCAGGCTTTGAGGGCCTCTGATTCGGGACGATCCTGCATCGAGTAGCTCCACCAGCTGTAGACTGTGCCTTGGAAAGTGAGGAGTGGTGAACTGCAGCAAAGTGAGAAATAAAACAGTTCTTTGCTGAATTATCATGGTCCAGAATCCTCATTGTCTGTTCAGTAAATCCTCTACTTACTTCACCTTCATGGAAAAGAACCTTAAATCCCACAGTCTTATAATTCCCTGAGGTCATTATATAATAGAAAGGGTGGGCTTTTCATCAAACACAGTCAAATACTAAATGTTTTCTGACCTATACAATTGGACAGCCATTCCTTCTGGATTTATTCCCTTTCTCTTTGTAAAACCTAAAGATGTGTTTGGCAAAAATGTGAAAACTTGTAGTAGTTCCATAAATGTAGGTTTTGTTATCATAGATGTGCTTTTACTTTTGTGCCTTTAAGGTAAAAAAAAAAAAAAAAAAAATGATTGAACACAATTAGGCACTGCATTCACATTCCAGGCAGAACGGAAAAGAAATATAGGAAAGAGTTGTACCTGTCCAGAAGACAAAGAGTTTCCCAGATTCTTTTCAGTTTATACTATCATTGGCCACAAATTTGTCACAAGGCCATTCCAAGTTCTTAGATATTCCAGGGAAGGAAATACCTTTCGTGACCACATAGCCCAACAAAATTAATGTTCTTTCACCGAATAAGTAAAACCAATGGATATTGAGAAGGCAACTAGCAGGTTATTCCATACCAGTGAAGCAGTTCCTCAAAAAATGGTAGCCATTCCACGCATCGCTTCTTTTCTTCTTCCTCAGAAAGGAAAAAAGTGTCTCCGCACCAAGAAGTCGCTCCACGCCATCCACCTGCAGTACGAGAACTGCACCAGCCTGCTCACCTACAAGCCCAGGTTCTGCGGGGTCTGCAGTGATGGCCGGTGCTGCACCCCCCACAACACCAAAACCATCCAGGTGGAGTTCCAGTGCTCGCCAGGGCAGACCATCAAGAAGCCAGTCATGGTCATTGGTACCTGCACCTGTCACACCAACTGTCCCAAGAACAACGAGGCTTTCCTCCAAGACCTGGAGCTGAAGACCAGCACAGGGGAAATATAAGAAACACCCACAGTAGCAAACTGTAGCCGCCGCTGACCCACCATCAAATGAATATAAGAAGAAAAATGAAGAACCGTTCCTGCATCCTCGAGTCCTGTGTATTTTTCTGTGATCATATGAGGTCACTTATATCTGTCTTTTGTTTATTGAAGGATATTCAAACTGTAAACTTGGAATCAAGGGAAGCTCAGGATATGGCTTAGGAATGACTTACTTTCCTGTGATGTTTATCACAAGTGCAAATTTCTGTACATTGAAGAAGTAAAGTATAGGATTTCCTTTGTAGACTGTACCACTTGACACTTACCCTAATTCATGTGCACTAGTGCAATTGCAAGGAAACGTCACTGTAGTGAATGACATGGTGAAGTCTAGAATCACACTCAGTATGTCTTCATATAAATATTACCCCGTATCTGGAGCTTTGGCTTGGTGGGTCCCCACTGGGCTCCCTTTTGACATAGGTCAGCTCTGTACTCAAAGCCCAAGACCCAAGGAAACATACAGCTCTTCGATGTGAAGTCAAGAGACTATTCACTGTATTCAGCTGTATGCTAGGAAACATGCTGTGCCTACAGCAATGAAGCGTTTGCTAATTAGGCGGACTGCAGTTATGACCTTTCTGCATTTCAAATCAACCGACTCCTTTCCACTAGAAAGAAGCTCAGCAGAAAACTCCCAATACATAAACGACTGGGCCCTTGTGGCCCTCACACCTTTCTATACTGTAGGCTGCCGAGGCTCACTAGTTTTTTAATTTAGCAGAAGCAAAAGAGACAAGCAGGGTTCTTCTCTTCAGTGAGTAAACTAAGACCCAAAGCACTGAATTACAACCTTTCAAGTGTGCTTTATTTAGAATTTTGAAAAATAAGAGGGACAAAATCAACATGATTGTGATGGTGAAGAGCACAAATTTCGTGAGAGTTTAGTAGAACTATTTAGACATGCTCCAAACATATCCTGGGGTTATAATTACGAAAACTCATGAGCAACATATATATATGTGTATGTGTGTGTGCGTGTGTGTGTGTATATCTACTAGGTCAGGCTTACATGATAAGCTGCAAAATTAAATCTATTCATTCCTCCAATGTTACCATGTGTTCCTTTTTTTCTCTTTTAAAGTATTTATAAAAGTATAAGTTATGCATTTTGTAAAATATTCTTTTTAATGTCTCTGCTTGTCAGACATGACCCAAAAGAGCATGATGTTATCCATGTGTGACTGGTACTACTTTTGTGCTTCCAAGTTTGGTATGGTTGTTCACTGAAAATAAAAATTTATAAATTGAATAAAGCATCTGTCAGTCGCACCTGTTGAAAGCAAGATGGTTATTCTGAGCCAGGCTTATAACTTCTCCAAAGGGAAACAGACATCTTGTCCTGTTAGGTGATCGCCTTTGCCAAGACCGCAAATATTCTCCATACCATGAACACCAGCCTCATCTAGACCGTGATCATTTCTTCCTGGACAACCCGTGAGGCATCTCTGTGTACTGAAATGTGAGTTTTTTGTCTGGCCAGGCAAAAGTCACCTCTTCGCCTTCCTTGTCTCCTTAAAAGGCTCTCTGGCCCCCTAACTTCCCAGCTGACCCCGTTAACACTGCCTGGGTCAGTCTGCTCTTGTGGGAACCATAGAGTTGCACATCCTCACCCATCGGTTCTGCACCCACAGATTCAACTAACCAAGGACTGCAAATAGTACAAAAAGCAAGCATTACACTGGTTCTGATGCATGCCATGTAGTTAGGCCTACAAATGTTTGCATCTGAACTCAACAGGTACAGTTTTCTAGTAACTTCTCTAAGCAATACAGTATAACACTGCTTATGCAGCATTTACAATGGCTTGGGTGTTGTGACTCAAAAATTACTTAAAGTATAGAAGGAGGATACACACAAGTTACTTGATGTAAGGAACTTGAACATCTGGGGATTATGGCTTCTGCCAGGCATCCTGGAACTCATCCCCCATAGATACCAAGGGACAACTATTTCTGTGATGATGCAGAACATAACCATGATCGGGCTGCCATCTGGGGAGTGTGAGTCACAGTTAATAGAAGTTCAGTGTTTCAAAGTGTCTGGCTGATGCAGTATAGATCTATGGTTCCTCCATAATGTAAAGGGAAAAGCAAACTTTATTTCTCCAACTTCACTTCGTCTGTCTTCAGCCCCACTCCCATCCTTCTGTATATCTAATTTTTATTTGTTTTTAAAGTAAATTGGAAAACAAAATGGGTTCTAGGAGCTCATTGTCAGGAAATGATCATAAGGAACATCTAACATTCATGCCACAGCTGTGTTCTGCGTGCTTTTATCTGCATGTATCGTTTAATTTCCAAGATGGCTCTAGGAGGTATAAGTTCTTCATGTCCCTGGGTTACTAATGAGAAAATTCTTTTGAAAAGTAAAGCTAAGAGATCTTGAAATCAAACTTTTACTGCACTTAATGGTACTACATGGATCTGTGGGTCCAAACGTGTCTATCTTTGGAGCTGTTCAATGCCATGCTGTTCATCATGGTGAAAAAATTGGAAAAGCTTAAAGGTGGAATAATACAGATTTGCCTAGATAAGTCATAGTATGTACATTATGATGGAAATGACCATTAAGGTGAGAGTGTCAGAAATTATATTGCAAGTAAATACATGCAATAAAGTGTAGGGCTACAGAAAGAGTGATTAGTTTTTGTTCAAAACAAATATCTATGAGCAGCCATCAAAGGACAACTAGGAGGTGATACGCAGCAAAATAGTATTAGTGATTATGTCAGTCAGACCCATATTGTTTACCTTTTTCATGATTTCTGCACCAATTTTTTGAGAAAAGAGTGTCTTTATAACCAAGAAAGAAAATGAAGGCTGAGTTGAGATAGTGCTGTGAGCATAGTCTCCACCCTTTGCTTATCCATGTGACCTTAGTTTTCCCTTCCAGCACCCAAAATGCTAAATTCATCTCTTTCACTCATTTGACATAGACTGACGCATTGCTCCTGTGAGCTAGCATTGTTTGGGCTCCTGAGAACACAGCTCTGAATAAAACAAAGAGTAAGATAGACCTTTAGGTTATCCCTTTTTCTAGTATTTACACCCTGTTTAGAAAGGCAGGCAAAAGGTAGACAATAAGCAAAGAGAACAAATGTGAGGTGGTGGATACACAATGGAGGATGTCTTGGTAGCTAGTTTAGCATGAGGTAGTTTAGAATTTGTTCCTGAAAAGGTGACACTTGCTCTGAATAATAAAGAGACCTTTGGATCAGAGGAAACAGCCAGTGTCAAAAACAACAAAGTCTAAACTTGCAGCATTAAGGAAGATCCATGTGGCCCTTACACTGTTTTATAGCTGATACCATATACCCCACTGCAAGCATCTGATGGCACACGTCGTGGTCTTCTTTCTGTCTCTAACATGCAGCAGGACCTCACTATGAACCCGTTAAACTCATGAATGAATAAAGGAATGAAGGGCTTGTGCATTGACAAAAGATAGAACATTCTTCAGAATAAATGTTAGGTTTTTAAACTTTCAGGTTCATTACCTCTACTCCTCGCTATCCAGCTTACACAAATGCACACACATACACACACATGCACTCTTGAAGTTATCATTACAGGTTGGGAAAATGTGGTCTGACGTGCAAATATTTGCAAAGTTCAGGACATTCTAGCAATACAGCAAGGAAAGCAATCTTGACTGAGCAGACAGAGATTAGGACTGAAGAAAACACAGCCAAGAGGATGATGCCAGGCTGGGTCTGAGTACTAGGCTTGGTCTTTCCTAGCTGTAGCATACCCAGCAATGTGCACAACCCTGAGCTCCACCTTCCCTGCCTAAAGATGACAGGGTGACCAATAGCTCACATCTCCTTTATCCTTGTCTGAGTTGGTTCCCAGAGACTCAGGACATTTTGGTTGTAAAATCAATTCTGTCCCAGGCAACTGGGATGGGTTGGTCACCCTAAATACTAACTGCATGGTGATATAAGTTAATATGTGCTCATAAGCATTTGACTGTGCCTGACACTTAGTAGGCCTGGAAATGACAGCTCTTAGTAAGCATTTAGCAGAACCAAACACTACCACTCATTTTATTTTATTCAGTTAATGCACAGAGGTAGACTTTACTGATTCATTTTTACAGAGCAAGATAAAGAGCTTCAAAAAGTCAATGGTCTATTAAGGACACAGCAATTGTGTCAGGGTCTCAAACTCAAACTCAGGGTCTGCTAAACCCAGAACCAAAGCCCTTTCCTCTCCGTGGTGCTACCGCTCCAGAGGCCAAGTGTATTTTCAGCAACCAAAACAATTCCAACGGCTCTCATGTTTGTGCTATTTTCTCAAACTATAAATGTTCCCTTTCAGAAACAGCATTGCAAAGTAGTGAGACTGTCGAGATCACTCTGCGAATGTGAAATTGTGAAAGCACTGAATTCCTGGTATAGCGATAAAGTACATTTCATTGAAAATTATCATCAGAAATTGTTTGGGGAGTTTTATTTTTCCACACAAGGATTCAATTATACAGTGAGGCAAGGACATTTCTGACTCCACAAGGAGATAATTTGTCATAGACGTATCTGTACCTGATGAGATTATCAAGGCATTGGTAGTGATTTCCGGGCAGTGGTTAGATTTCTCCCTGGACGTCTTCCTTATAGGTACACATCATTGTGTTTCTGGACATGTTTCACTCCACCGTGCTCAACAGCATCAGTCAAATCATCAAGACAGTACGTCCTTTTGGCTGTGTGCTGTGGCGCTTGGTTTGAAGATCCATTATTGTTGAAAATGTATTCATCTTGCCCACCTCACATGGTTCTTGCAGACCTTGCCCTGCTGGCATGACCACAGAGGCTTCACAAAATTCAATTACCACTTCAGTAGTACTGCGGGCACTCACTAAACTCTGAATAATGAAGAATTCTTTGTGGGCTTCCAGCTAGGGACTGTAAGTTACTGTTACATTAAGCCAGCTGTTCCAGGCATAATCAGGAGGTGCAAAGGGTAAGCATGGCAGTGTTGTCCCAGTCTTCCTAAAGGATGTGGGTCGTTCTCCTTAGGACAAGAAAATGAAAGTCTGAGCATCAGCCTAGGAAATGCTACAAAAACAAAATATAGAGTTGCATTCAAATGGCAGGGTTCCATAGAAAGAGCATAACTCTCCCTACACTTCCCTCTTCTTCTGGAAGGAGCTTGGAATAAATATTTTATAATCCAGGAAGAAGATGTTGCTTGGAGTTATGTTTTATGAACAAAATCCAAAATGCAGGCTCTGCTTGTAACATAAATTCAGAAGTTTGGAAGAGGTTACGAAGTTCTTAGCTTGGGTTAAATATGGGTCAATAAGCTCCACATGACCCAGCTTCCTCCTCACGAACCATGGCCACCCGCAAAACCCTTGAGGCCGTTGGCACAGGAGGGCCAAGCAAGTGGAAGGTCTAGTTTGGCCAAAAGTTCAGCGAGACCTTCTCTGTTAATTTGGAGAGCATCCCAACCCCCAGACGAGAGGATGAAAACTATGATCTCCCCAGATTCCATATCATGGTCATGAAACTACTTGAAATTCACCTTCTTTTTTTTTTTTTTTTTTTTTTGAAATTCACCTTCTTTAAGGAAATTTCGTGAGCAGCATCCTTCCATTCAGCACTGCCTCTTTCATGTGGAACCAAGTCCTGCAACAATTACTGTAGCAGCAGCTACAGCTCTGGACCTCTGTTCCTCACCCCCATCTGTGCCCCCCACTAGATCCTGCTCCATGATCGCAGAGATGCTTGGTTTTCTCACCACCCCATCATGCATTGCTTCTCAAACTTTTCCAGCACTGGATTTCAAACAGCTGAATACACTGAGCATTTGCTCTCTTGAAGATCCAGCAGCAGAAACCTAGTGTTTCAGGACAAAGTTGGTGGGAAGCATCACATTTTTCATTTAAAAATTCAGGTCAGTTGTGACTTCTTAAGATATCCATGTGCATTTAAGTATAATAACATCATCTAAAATTTCACATTGGCTAGAATATGCCCCTTTTTCTACCTAAAGCTTCAAGTGAAACAGATGTTTCAGGAAAAAAATGCACCATATTTACCTGAAGTCTCTGGCATCTTCTTTCATAGTCCTCATAGTCAAATTAGCAAAAGTAATAAGAGTAATTCCAAATTTTATCTCACTCTAGGAGCCACTGATTGTAGATGTACGATTAATGTATGCGTCATTCTGCCAGTGGGCCTAGGATGCATCATCTATTGTAAGATCCATGTCACTTTCTGAAACACAAAAGAGTTTTCAGTGTTAATCTTAGTATGTATGAAATTTGGAAAGAAGAATTTTTAAAAAGGGGGGAAGTAAACTAACATATGTCAAGCTTATTAGAATCCAAGGACTATGCAAAGTGCTTGCATACAGTACCTCATTGGCTTTAGTCCTTATGGTAATCCTGTCAAGCCAGTACTGTTTCACTGCAAAATTGCCAGCGAGGAAAATGAAGTTTTGGAGAGATAAATAGCTTGCAAAGGACCACAAGTCTATTATGTAATAAAGACAAGATCTGAATCTTCACCTTGTGAATCTGCAAGTTATATGTTTAATGCCCCCACCTCATTTCCTATATCTTGGCTTATATGCACTCCAGTTGGAGGAGCAGGTGGTGGGTGCTCAAAAATGCAAAGTTAAGCACAGTGGTTTAATATCTGTAATCCCAGCACTCTGAGAGGCTGAGGCAGGAGGATCACAGGATCAAGCCCAGTCTGGGCAACTTAGTGACTTAGCAAGACACTGTCTCAAAATAATAAAAAAATTTTATACACACACACACACACACACACACACACATACATACATATTTTAAGGTCTGAGGAAGTAACTCAGTGTGAAGGCCCTGGTTTAATCCCTAGTGTTAGAAAGAAATACAAATGGATAAATGAGCTGCTATCCAACTGTAGCAAATCTGTGCTCTGAATATTGGTCACCACCCAAGGAACATCCTGGACTGCAGGCATAGAGATCACGTGCAGTTCTTCACAAAGAAAACCACTCAACTGTCATCAAAAACCTAGAGACCAAGAACTGTCAGGAACTGTCCTGAGATTTCACCTGCCACCTCAATTAAAACGGTGCTCTTCCTTCTGTGTATCACTGCATCATCCATTAATGCACACACTATGCGTTGATCATCTACCACATTCCGAGGCGCGTGCTTGGAAAGGAACTGGGAATAAAGTAGTATAACAAGATCAATGCAGTCCTTGCCCTCCTGGAGCCTGTAGTCCGGTGAGGTATATGAATTTGTCCTTAGACCTCCACTCCTAAGGCCAGATAGCCCAGCCCATTACACCTTCCTCTCCTGTTCACCATTTTAATCATGTGCAGAGAAGTAGATGCTTTTCAGCTGGGCCCCACTACTTATGCACCCCTCAAATCCCAGAGGGGTTCCAGAGAAAGGAAGTAGCAGGGAGCTCAGTCTGAAGCAGTCCAGACCCCTGTCCTTGTGTGAGCCACAAATGCCAGGTGGGAGGAGGAGCTCTTGTTCCTAATCACACACCCGGAGGGTTCCGGAGACACAGAAGCGGGGATTTCAGAAGTCTCCCCTTAAATCCCTCATTCGTTAAGAAAACAGTCTAATCCCAACCTCACCCCCAGCAGTTTACTCAGAGCAGCCATCCGCTGCCCTTCTTCCCTCTGCTGGGAGCACTTGAGCTTCACTGCACTCAGACCCTTCTTGTGCTGTGATGTCACAGGGAATGTCTTCCTCCCTCTGCTCTACCCTTTAAGATCCTCTTTAACCTTCAAGGCCTACCCCAAATTCTGCCTGCCAAGTTTGTCACTGCCCTCGCCATAGCTCTTCAACCAGGGGCGAAACGTGGCAGACTACAGCGGGAGGCAACGTGGTAAAAAGTCAGGAAAACAAGCGGGGTCCTGGCTGCTCGTCTTCCGGACTTCTGCGTTCATAAAATGAGGATGTTGGAATCAGTAACTTCTGTAGCCCCCTCTGTATTAACACTTAAGGGTAACCACCAATGGTGGTTAGATGTCATTTTTATAAATGTTACAGATGTTGTTTTTATAACCTTATTTTTCTGACTCCAAAATGAGTTTTATTGTCCCATTTACAGACAAGGGTTTCAAACCCAGGAATACCTGGCTCTGGAGTCCTCGATCTTTGTAGCACGATGCACCGCCCACCTCCAAGCACTTCAGGGCTTTTCCTCTCCCATTAGTGTTCTAGAGGCTAATTTTACTTCTCCTCCTCCTCCTTCTCCTTCTCCTCCTCCTTCTCTTTCTCCTTCTCCTCCTCCTTCTCCTTCTCCTTCTCCTTCTCCTCCTCCTTCTCCTTCTCCTCCTCGTCCTCCTTCTCCTTCTCCTCATCCTCCTTCTCCTTCTCCTCCTCCTTCTCCTTCTCCTTCTCCTCCTCCTCCTCCTTCTCCTTTTCCTCCTCCTCCTTCTCCTTCTCCTCCTTTTCTTCTTTCTTCTCCTCCTCCTTCTCCTCTTCCTTTTCCACCTCCTTAACCTCTTCCTTCTCCTCCTCCTCTTTGTCCTCCTCCTCCTCCTTCTCCTCCTCTTTGTCCTCCTCCTCCTTCTCCTCCTCCTCTTTCTCCTCCTCCACCTCCTTCTCCTCTTTCTTCTCCTCCTCCTCCTCCTTCTTCTTCTTCTCTTTCTTCTCCTTCTTCTCTTCCCTTCCTCTTCCTCCTCCTTTGATTAGGAAACAACCAACAGCCTTTACATTTATTCAGGTCTCTCAAGGCACAGAATAAATACCCACGATGAAATTGTCATAAAAGTATTGGCTTAAGTCAGGCATGGTGAGAAATGGCTGCAATCTCAGTTTGCATCTGTCAGGGGTCTCTGAGCGACCCTCCTCCTCTCTTCTGGTCCTTGCCCTCACTCCAGCAGAGAATGGATTAGTGGGCTCTTAGTGAGAAATGGGAGAATCAAGGCTAGTATAATGCAAAGTGAACATTTTTATAGAGTGTGGCAAATACAGAGAAAGCAGAAGAGGAACTAGCTTAGCAGCAGAGTGGTGCTACAAGATAGAGGCATCCTGCTTGGGATTTTGGTGAGTCTGAAAGGTGCTCGTACTAGTTGGGATTAGCCGGTTTCTAAAAATACCAGTTTCACTGGTTGGTGGTCTAGGCCAATCAGGGCCTTTGTTTGTGGAAAGGGGCCAGGGTCAGCATAAGTAAATGTGAGTCACTTTCATAAGGATACAGGAGGGTACATTTTCTCAAGTACATAGTACACAGATAAGCCTGTGATGATCTTATAATCCTCAACCAGAGATGCGCATTACAACTATCAGCCACAGACACACATGAGATGAATTTGCAGTGTTCATCATTGGGTTTTGTCCTGTGTGTTTTCTATGTCCCTCTGATCCACTCCCTACACCTGCACTCTAGGAGGCTGAGGCAAGAGGATCACAAGTCACAGTACAACCTGGATTTAGTGAATTAGTGAGACCCTCTCTTAAAGTTTAAAATAAACCAATAAGGGTGGAGTAGAGGCTAAGTATGCAGTTCAGTGCAAAGGTCCTATATTCAATCCCCAATTCCAAAAAAAAAATACTAACTTAAACTGTACCTCTAAGCATCTCAAAAAAATGTTAAAGATGTAAAAAGGTCACCCAGAATTCAGCTGCTAATACTTTATCCCACCAATCAACAAATCTGACTTGCTTCTTATTGCAGTGCTTGCTTTGGTTGGCTACTCAAAGAGGATATGAAGGTTCAAATGCAGAGCTTTATACACAGATTCACTTAGTTGGTCAGATCATTTTTTTAAACGATCAACTTCAGCCAAACAACTTATGACCCAAGTTACTAACTTATTAGCTCCCACTCAGTGTATTAAAAATAATTCAGCTATTTGTAAACCTAATAGTGTCAAAATCAACCCATATAACCTATACCCAAGAAAAAATATATTTATTACCTACCACTCTTTACTCCTTCAAAACTTGAGATTATCTAAGTTCTGAGCAGATACCTCTTATCATCCCCAATAAATTTTTATCATTTTGGACACAGCCTGACAAGAGTTGAACTTCAATACTAACTAGACTGATTAATGCAACCTATCTAATGCTCAAAGTAAAACTGCCAACATTGGAAAAAAAGTAGTGTCCAACTATTAATTTCTATGACCCTTCCTAGTGACATAAAGCCCTAGCTATGTTTTTTTCTTTCTGATACAGGGTCTCACTATGTAGCCCAGGCCGGCCTTGAATTCACTGCAGTTCCCTGCCTCAGCCTGCCAAGTACTGGGATTACAGATGTGCGCCACTACACCCAGCAGCCCTAGTTTTTAATAGATTTTTTTCCTCCCCAAATGTTGTACTAATTTACACATTTCTTCAATCCTATATAAATTAACTGTGGACTTACAATATGTGCTAAGCACCACTTCAGATTTCCCTCTACTCTTCCAGTTCTTTGTCTTTCTCCTCTTTGATGAATAATTTGAAAATGTCCTGAGAAGGTATGTCATTGTATTCTGAAGGAGCAAAAATTCCATTATGTGATTCGGATGTCCATTGGGCTTTACAAGATCATTCTAAATAATATAGCAAAAGTCAGATCTTCTGATTTCCGCTATAAGTTCTCAGGTCTACCCTTTCTAGCTAGACAGACATAACCTTTTTTTTTTTTTTTTTACATGAACAGTAAACTCAGAAGCAGGTATGTTTTATCAGACACAGAGAGCTTTTATAGGCCCTCAGCCAAATTTTAAACCACTCAAGATTTCTACAGAATAAAAGGCTGTTTACAAGCTTTCCTTGTTTTAGATTCCCCTGTTTACTACATGATTCACTTTTAAATGATAGTTGATATATTAGACTTATGAGGAACCATCTAGAATATTAAAAGCTTTGTTTCCAAGCTTTTATATTTACTTCCTTCTCTTTACTCCTCAACATATCAATGTCTTGCATTCTTTTTCTCAGAAGATTAAGTGTAGACATTCCCTGATCTACTGGTCCATGGGGATGACTCTGAGTCGTAACATTTGCTCTGTGTGGGCATTGATGATATTTTTTCCTAGACTAAACCATTAAATTTCTTTCATATTTGGGATCATGTACAGTCTTAAGAGGTTGAAAGCAAACACAGGCAGATAATCTCTAGAAAAGCACATGTAAGAAAAAGCCTTGGTCCATCAATAAGAGTGTAGTAAAAAAGTCTCATGCTTAATCTGAAATAACCTTAGTCATATTACAGGTCATAGACAATACTTTATGGGGTCATTTAACTCTCTTCACTTCTCTACAAAATGCCAAACAATCTTCCACATAATGTGGGCACGGATAAATGTTAGAGGAAGAAGCAAAAAGATCAACAGATGAAGGGATGACAAGATGGTTCAATAGAGGGATGAGATGCATAGATAAAGGCATTATTTGATGAAAAGATGAGCAAATAAATGGTAACTGGAATTTTATGACCATGATCCCCTGATCCTTTAAATAAAATAGTTTTTGTCTGTAACGCTGGTGATGGAAGTCTAGAAAGTTCCATTAACACTCACTTCATACACTTGTCCAGAGCTGTCCCCTGCCGGTAGCATCTCCATACTCTCTTCCCAGTTTTTAGCACAGCTCTTTTTACCTCTAAGCCTCAGCTTACCTTGTTCTTATTGATTCTTGCTTCTAGCTTCACCCTACTCCCATTTCTGATGTCTCTCTTCCATCCCTGCTCTCTCCATCTGCCCAGTCCATCTCAGTGGGCGTGGCCAGCTAGTTTGACCTTGTTTTGTGCCATCTGTCTATCAGCTTTTGGGAACTGGCTAGCTGGCTTGAGCTGTAAGTGAGAACCAATGTGACTGTGTCCTTGTCTCTATAGTGAAGGATTCTGTCACTGTGTATCTGTCTGTCACCAGATCCCCAACTTTGATCAGGATTCAGGCCACAGGTGTTTAAGGAAGATAGGAACCTCTTCAACTCTAGGGGAAAGTGTGTGTAAAAGTAGCTTACAAATTCCAAGTCCTCATGTGAAATAATTTCCTATTAGGCATTGTTAGCTATCTACACAACTCAAAGACATTTGAATATAAATTCAAATTTGCAATCATCCAGATGGTTGGTATTTGAAACAGCCCACTTGTTATTGTAGTTCCAACTCCCTATCTAAATAAGACATGGAATAGTAAACTGGAAAAGTCAGTGTGTGTCATCTTGTGGACATCTTTCCTATTAATCATAAGTATCCTAACTGTGTAGCAAAGAGAAAAGCAAATGTACCTAGATCCTTAAATTTACCAATGCAAAACCAACCAAGCAATGTGAATCATTTAACTCAAAGAACAAACTACCAGCGACAGATAAAATAATTAGGTTGATTTTGGCTTTGTTTTTGTGCTTTGCAAAAGATCATATCAATTACTTCAGAGTGGAAGTATTTTTTATGGTGGTTAAAAAGGTGAAGGATTTCATGGGCAGCACCTCTGTCATGATTTAGTTTTTTTTTTGTTTGTTTGTTTGTTTTGTTTGTTTGTTTTGTTTTGTTTTGGTTTTTCTCCAGTACCGGGAACCGAACTCACAACCTTGCGCTTGCCAGGCAGGGCTTTGCTGCTGAGCTAAGTCCCCAGCCCCTTGTCATGGTTTAGTTTTTAAAAACAATTAAGCAACCGGTGTGTGAGAGTTTACTCTCATGAAGGTAAGAAGCTAGTGTCCCATGGTTTTGATATTTGGGGTCCCCAGACTTAATTCCATGAAGACGTAGTGTACCTTTATGTGAGAATTAATAACCCAGCACTTACTGGACACTTGCGAAACTCAAATACAGCAAGATCATCTTTTCACACCACAGAAGAGTCGTTGCTCACCTGTGGAAGATACTGAAAGAACTCCATTGTGTTTTCCCTCCAGCCTAGGAAGAATTTCATAGCTGCCATCATTAGGTCCTGGTTTTCTGACCTGTTAAGTGAGAAAGAAAAGTAGTTCTCAAAGCAGCACCTGATAGAAGAGCTTAACTTTGTCCACTTTTCTCATTCCTTTTACCTCACTAAGGAGGAAGTCCCTGAAAGGATCCCCCAAATGGGTTGCCCGCATTTACTATCATCTCAGTGTGCTCACGCAGCTTTCTTTGAAGGCCTCCACTGCAGTGTCTGATCTGTGCCCTCAGATACCTCAATCCAATCCCAGTACAGCCCTCAATCTCCCTGCAGCATTTAGGCTCCACTGCTGCAGGCACTGGCCCATGTTCCTAGAGGTTCTGCTCTACTTGATGCTGTGTGACCCCAGAAGACAGCACTGGATCAGGGTCCTGTGAAGGAGGCAGTGAATTATTTGAGTTTTAGTTTTGGCCTCCGACAGGGTCAGCAGATATTTTTATGAGTTTACCTAACAGGAGAGTCCCTTAGGGCAAGTTTTCATTTTGCCTCTAAAATAAGACAAACCAAAAACAATAAAACACAGCCTGTTCTGGTATCATAAAATATGCAATGTCTCCTTTCTGTATGATTTTAACTTTGCCCTGGAATTAGTGAAGACGAGTCTTTAGCTCTTCTTAGACTTGATTTATATTCTGCCTTCCTCATGGGGTAGCTGCAATTCTTATTGGGCTGATGTCCATCTCGAGTATCCTTACACACATTATCTCCCAGCTACCCACTGAGGAATTACTTTTTCCTTTCTTTTACTGGTCAAAATTTTTTCATACTCTCAGATTTTTGTTAATTACTTTGGGATTTGAGAGAAAAACATACCAACTATAAGCTCAAAAGAAACAACTTACAATGAGATCAGCAGAACCATCAGTCACGTCTCCCTCGTGCAACTTCAATCTTTAATTTAAGGACCGGAAAGGCATCTTGCTGGTTTCGCGGCTTTTGCCCTTTCCCAGAAAGCTTTCCAGTCTCCCTTAGGGAACTTAGCAAAGGCAATTTCCATTAAGTGGACGTGAACTCATTGTCATAGACGGGGAGTACGCTTAGGCACAGCAAAACAGTTCTACAACACATTTTACAGACTTTGCAAATCATAACCCGCTTTGTAGATGGCTGACCCATCCAAGAAAAATAAAGAAATAAGGGTGAGAGTTCTATTTTCTATAAATCATGCTTCATTCCAGTTTCCCCTTAATATCAGAGAAGGGTAACTGATGCTATTTGGATGAGCTCATTTAAACACATCAAACTCTCTTCACAAAGATTAATAAGAATGAGTCAGTGATGCTGGTGGCAAAGCCATCTCATTGAAAGACTTCAAGAAGTAATATACAAAGCAGGATTACCACTGCGCAATCTTTAACACGACATGCATAAAATCAATATCTCAAGCTCCTTTGGGAGTTACTGCCCAACATGCTGTTACGAATCATCATAATGACCTCAGCCAGCCCCTCCTGTCCAGTGGGGAAACTGGAATTTCTCAGCCTTCAAGGAGAAATTCAAATCTGGGCAGTTTGCAGGGCCTATGGACAGGGTGATGGTTTTCTAGAAGACAAAGGTCAGATGTAGAATTTTCCTAGGTGCCATGCTATAATCAGTTCCACTGGCTCAAACCAAGAGAGCCAGCCTTACTCAGTGAGAAAGCTTAGGAAGAGCAAAGCTTGGGCACGGTCAGGAACCATCCCCAGTGATGTCTCTGTCCAAGAGCACTCACACAGCAGGAGTTCTACACCATCCATGAGGACAAGGGCCTCAACATTTCCTCTGGGGGATCTAACCTTGTATATCACTCATTGAAAGCTGCTCCTGCTGACTGATCTCTCTGAATTCATGAATATTTATAATTTCTGGCCTTTTTAACTTTGGAGAAACATGGAGCTTCTCCATTACAATTTGGAGAATTGAGTTTCCACAATTTCTCCCATTAGTGTTTTGACATTTGAGTTCCAGTGGAGAATGCTTTAAGGATAATGCAGAGAAGAAATGGTTTAGGATTTACCTCGTTTAGTAATCTCAACCAGGGCCCATTCTGTTTTCCAAAGAATGCTTGATAACACTGAGACATATTTTCAATCAAAACAGTATGGAAGAGCTGCCCCTGGCCTTTAGCAGATAAAGGCCAGGGATGATTGGAAACACCTTACGTGGGACACTCTTCCACCGAGAGGAAGTGTCTGTCCCCAACTTCAACAGCGTCATTGTTGAAAAGCCCTGCACTAGCATAAAGGCAAAAGCATAAGGTCAACGCTTAAGCTTAACCACAGATAAAAACCCTTTCACACCATGTTCCACGAGGCAAAGACAAAAAGCAGGCCAATTATTCCCAAGGTAGGATAATGAGAAATCTCTGACAGAAAGTACTGCAGAAACCACGTACGTGACAACAGCACACAAGCCAAGAAACACACGTGGCCTTACAGTTAGCCATGACGTTACAATACGATTTGGAAAAGTAAACTCCAAACACGCCTGGAAAAAAGAACTGATACCCAAACAGATTCCCCTCTTGGGATACATTAGAGTTGACAGGGCCTCCAAGTCCTCAAGGCGTTAATTTCTAGAAAAATTGGAAGAGGGGAGCAGAGGATTTAAGATAAACATCAGCTGTAAGTGATTCTTAAGCCACAGTTGAGGCGAGGTCTTGAAATGTTATTTTTTCATTCATTTTTCTGTCTTTGTATCTCCCCTATGTGAGAAACTTGGCATGCACAGTTGGCGCCTATATTATCCTCTGGCCAATACTTTACCCCGGTTGCCTTAGCAACTGTCAATATTTGTCTGGTATGTCACAGCCCCAGTTGGCTGATGTCTGGTTTGACACCTACTTGTAAAGTTTAGGGAAGAGAGACACCCAGCGGCCAAAGTTAAGAGGGCTGTAAGCCATCTCCTGCTTCCTTTTATTTTCACCTGAGAAACATTGAATAATTTTTAAATCTGATCCCCCTTTAAGGATCAACAGTTCCCACATAAAAGTTATGGAGACAGAGAAGAACATGGGTTGGTGCACTTACTTTGTCCATAAAAGGCCTGATAGTAAATATTTTACGTTTTGTGGGCCATACGGTCTCTGCCGAAACTACTCAGCTCTGCTGTCAGAGCACAGAGTAGCATTAAACAATACATAAACAAACGAGCCTGGCTGCGATCCAATAGTCTTATTTATAAAGCAAGCAGCAGGCCAGATTCAGTCCACAGGCAATAGACGGCCATCTTTGCAAGATGAGATAGAATCTCTACACTCTTCCAACCTGGACTTGTCCCTGCCACCTCGACTCCCCCAGGTTCCAGGGAAATTGGAAGAATCACTGCAGAAAGACAGAACAGTAACATCCAGTGTTAACATTCGTACCAGAATTCAACATGCTCCAGGCATTGCTCTGAGTATAGCAAGGTAACCACCATTTACCAGGCACTTGCTATGAACTAAATGTTGCATCCTCCCCAGATTCAGATGACAAAAATCTAATCCTCAGTATGTGATAGGTGGAGATGGGACCTTGGAGGTCATTAGGTCATGAGAATGGAGCCCTCCTCACAGTATTTGTGCCCTTCTAAGAAGAGAACTTTCTTCTCTGTTCTGGCAACTATAGTGAAAAGTGACTGTCAGAAAGAGCACCTACACCATCCACCACATCTGCCAATGCCTTGATGTTGATTAAACCATCCAGTCTCTGGTGTCCTGTTATAACAACCCAAAATGACAAAACAGTAACATAATGTATACGTAAAATGCCTTGCAAGTCAAATAACAGTAAGTGATACTGTCAGAAAATTTCATGGGAAATCAGGACAGGGAATGCTGAGTGTAAGAAATGTTGAATTTGGAAGATATCTAACTCTGTTGCTGCTTTATAACAGCACTTACTATTTTTATCATTATATTTCTAGAATGTTTGGCCACAGTCATCAGTCAAGCCTTTGACCTCAAATTCCAGTTAAAATCACAAATGAACTCGAAATGTTCAAAATGCATTCTGAAGGAAAGCTGAATTTTTAAGTAAACAGGATGTTCATATTTTTTTCATTATTGTGAGGCCAGTGTAAGAGAAGTGGCTATTATTCCTACCTCCAGAAGAATTCTAGATTGAAGTCCGAGGCCTGATGTCCCTCCAACTCTAGGTTCCTATATTCCAGTCTACTCGGCCTTATCCAGATCAATGGATTATCAGTTCTGCAGAAATTACTCCTGTACCGAGCACTGCAGTAACTCAAAGTCACCAGACTTTTCGCATTTGTGATAAAAATGGAGCAGTCTTTAAATGTATAAAGAAGTGTCTGTTCTTGTCCTCCATCTATGTCACTATGATCTATGCCTCTAGGATTTTCCCACCTTTGCACACATGCACACATGCGCACACACACACACACACACACACACACACACACACTCCTTCCCTGAAGCATTTAGAAAATCCTCCAAAATAAGCATTCACATGATCACAGTTCTGTCTCTTCACTACTGACACCATTTGAAAACCTTCTCTAGCTTTTTGAGCTATCTCTGATTTTCCAGCTGGATACTTTTCTATTAAATTGCCTGAGACAGGGCTCCATGTCATTGTTGATGATTCATTCTGAGAATTCTAACGGAATGCCCCAAAACTGGCCAAGTTTGAAGTGGTCAGGAGTCCCGGCTTCTTAGGAAAGGTGGGGAGAAGGGCCAAAACTAGAATGCCTTACCTACTAATTCACTTAGCCAACATTCACTGAGCATTAAATACTAATCCATTCATTTGACAAAAACTAGAACCCCTGAACTCACACGTGTGTAGAGCGTAGAGTTTAAAAGTAAGGACTTAATGTCAGACACGCCTGTGTCCAAGACATACTCTGACACCTATAAGCTTTGTGATCTTGATCAGGTCTTTACTCTCTCTGAGCCACAGTTTCTTCTTCTGTAAAATGAGAATCCTAATGAACCTGTCTCGTGAAGTTGCAGTGATATACGGGACAATTTATATAATCTTAGAACCTGGATCAAAATGCAGTGTTGTCATTCTTACCTTACATTACCTTACCTCACCTTAACTTACCTTACCTTACCTTACCTTACCTTACCTTATCTTACCTTACCTTATCTTACCTTAGGTTCCAGGTTCTGGTTTGGTACTGGTGATGAACACTTCTGTTTCATGTGCTTCACTGGATAGTGTTAAACTCACCCAGCAGAGCCAGTCATGACCAGAGCAGAACAACCACAGTTGTTGTAGGTGGATTTGAGAATTACAGTTCTCCAAGCAAGTATCCTTCTGCTCACCTCCAACCACTTCCATGCTGGTGTCAGAAAGTCATGTTGTTTGGTTTTATGCTTGGGTCCCTTCTCTTTGTCTAGAGAATACTTTTTCCCTGTTCTTTTTCAAGATGGTAAAAAGTTTTATCCACTTCATAAAAAAAGTTGTAATCTACTTCTTTAGTTCTGTTATTTTTACTGCTTCCAAAATATAGTTGAGTGTTTGCATATTCATCTCCACCCTGGTTCAAGGCACAAGCTGTACTTGCCTGGATGACTTCCAAAGCTTCCTGAGATCTTCCCATTTCCTCTCTATCCGTGCTCTTGGTTTTCACAAAGCGTGTGACTAGACCATTCCTCTGTTTAGAGTCATGCAGCAGTCTCCCATTGCACTTTTATCAAAACCCAAATTCATTACCTTTGGGTGGAAAAGATGAGCCACTATTTCCTGAAATCTTTTCTCTCCTTCCCTAGTTATAGGGTTAGAACACAGCAGCAGCTGCGAGGCCAAGAAAATGTAGTGGTATTTTTGTCATTGTTTTAATTATTACTTATTAATATAATTATTTGATGTTTATTATTGCACAGTTTCTGGGGATCATATTCTAGGTAACGTAGGTTGTTCTGGTACAGAAACTTTCATGAGTTTGTGTTCCAGATACTGCACAAGGATGTAGTGATCTGAAGGTTTGATCAGGGCTAAAAGATCTTCCGCACTCACTAACATGGCTACAGGAGGAAGGCTTCAGTTCCTTACTGTCTGACGGCCACAGGACCTACTTCTGCACTACAGGCAAGCAAGCTCACAAAATGCCAACTGGCTGCCCTCAGAGCAAGTGATCCAAGACAGGACGCAAGCAGGAGCCCACAGCGCCTTTTATAATCTCCTCTCGTTAGAAGTGAGCCTTTAAATCAGGTTCACACAAAAACCATGGGGAATTCAGCCTTGCCTTTCAGAAGACTCATGCACTTGCTCTAAGTCACCACATCTGGGACTGGCTTTTCCATTAGAAAGTGAGTAGATGTGAGATTTGCCACATCTGGCTCAGTTCTTTAAAAAAAAAAAAAGTGGCTTGTTTCATGCTCTAGATGCCTTTCCACCAGCCAGATGCAAAGACGTGACCAGATCCCGGAAACAGTAAAGCCAAATGTTTAAAGAACTTCAGGTTTCTGAATCACCATACTGAAGAGAGCTTGGCACTAACCAACAATTTTAGATATTAACTTGAATGAGAAATAAAAGGGTAGTTTTGTTTGAGTCTTTATTTCAGGTTCCAATTTGTTACGGGAGTTTAGCCTGACCTAACTTATACCTGCAGCTTCCGAGGATCTGTAAGAAATAGTCCCTTCCCTCCTCTCAGCTCACTGTTCTCAGACCCACAACCCCAGCTACACCACTGTCCTCTCAGATACAGGTGCATCCCAGGGTCTCAGGACCCTGTCCTTTGGCCTCTGCTTCTCCTTTCTAACAGCTTTTGGCGGGCTCCTGTCATTCTTTGGAACTTGCTTGCCTGAATTACTAAGTGCTCACTCGAGCCGGTCATTCTGGCTAAATAGACTCCCACATTGTACCTACCATCCACCGATCTTATAGCACTTACCAGAAACTGGAATTTATTTCTTCTTTCTTTATGTGTCTTGCACTAGTCAGTTAAGCCCTTCAGTCTACAGTCCACATGCTGTAGAGTATTTTTCAAAATATTCACTTCCTATTACACATTCCCATCCTGCTGAAGCCAGGTGCGGCCCTGTAACTTTTCTTGATCATGAAATGTGAGTGTGAATGATATGTGCAAAATTTCTGAGATGCTTTTCACACAATCTGGGTGCACCTGCCCCAATTTATGCTCGGGGGGGGGAAGAGATTACAAGGGAAAAGTCAGGAGTTGCTGGTATGGCTTGTGACTAGACGTCCCCCCAAAACCCTCATGAGGACATAGGCGGGACATTTTGGAGGTGGCTGAATCTAGGATGTGTGATGCTGCGATTAAGGGTGTGATGCTGGGATTAAAGGTTGTGGTTACTAAATTAGCCCACTGATTGGTTTGGTGTAGTTCTGGGTGTGGATAATGGGAAAGCCACCCTAGGTGTGGGTGGGACCACACAAGGCAGGCAGCCTGGAAGGGATAAAAGGGAGAGGCGGCTGCTGCTGCCATTGCTTGCTGCCTGCTTGCCACTTCTTTGCTGGTCACTGCTTTTCTGCCTTCTGCCTGCCGTGGACTGTTTCTCCTCTGCCATGCCACCCTGCCTTGGAGCCAGCTGATTATGAGCTGGAGCTTCTACAAACTGTAAGACAAGGCCTTAGGTTCAATAAACCTTTCCTCCCTTAAGTTTGGGTGTTGGGTATTTTGTCTCAGCAACAAGAAAAGTAACTAACAGAGTTGCTTTTTTTTTTTTTTTTAAGTGGGGATAAAATACCACAACATTGAATCAACCATTACAAAGTGACATTTAGTACATTCATGAGTTGCTTTTGTTCCTGTGTGACTCGGAACAGCGAGGAGCCCCCTGTTGGAAGTAACTGCTATAGAATTTGGAATGAAAGCTACTGGGAAACGCCCTCTCCCTGGTAGATTATACTGGTCAGTGACGAATACTCTTGACTCCCACTGGGTGAACAAAGAGAAGGACGAATCCTTGATCCTAGCAAAATGGTTGGGATACAGAGATAACTAAAATAAAACTGTGAAAGACTTATTTTGCATAAATTTAGGGTTTCTTTTGAAATTTCTATGACCACAGGGAAGGTAGAAATAATCAAGCATTAAAGCCCTTTTCTTAGAATTTTCCCATGGGATTGCAGGAATTTGGAATGGCAGAAGAGGTTCTTTTCAAACACTCCCATCCCCGAGTAAAGACAGGGAGAGACTGCAGGTGTGTGGCTCAGTGGTAGAGCACTGCCTAGTATGACCAAGGCCCTAGGCTCAGTACCCAGCTCTGAAAAAAAAACTTGGAAGGGGGGTTTGTGGAAAGAAGAGAGAGACTAAGGTGAGTATACTAAGCCCTCATGAGCTCTCACCTTTAACTTTAAAATCGCTTTGTCAGGAGTAGACTGGTTCCATCGAGAGAATAATGATGCTGGGAAAATATCCCCAGTTAGAATAGCTTTTCCTTCCAATAAATAACAAAAAAAAAAGTATCAAGTCCTTTATCAAAATTTGGAGGATATCATAGCTTGAAGCCTAACAGAATTAATACAAATTACTGCTCAGAATTACAATTTCTGCTTTGTTCAAAAACTGTGTCCAGTGACTACAACAACCAAGTTTTAAGGTTGGAAGTAAACTAGAAGAATATCCGTCTCAACACTTTTTGTTTTATGGATAAGAGGACTGAAAACCCCTGATACTCTTCGACAGAATGATACGTAGTCCTGAGAGACCAGGTGTTACTGCTGGCACACTCCAATGAATTAATATGAGGGTGGTTTTTTAAATTTAAACATAACTATAAGTTAATCCATTAATACTTTGGTCAGTTAAAAGAGAGCAAATAAGAAAGAAATAAGCAAACAAATGATCCATTCCTCTTCTCATGAATTTTATGAAACACATTTCGTCATTGAGAGAAAAGTTATGATAATAATCAGATAATCAAGACAATAATATTTTAAAATGGAGATGATAAAGGGACCTAAATAAGTTTCTACATTTTACTTGACATGATAAACTGTTGATGTATTGACTGTAAGTCACGGGTATACATTGTAATGTACAGAAGGAGACCACTAAGAAAACTGTAGAAAGATGCATTAAAAAGCACGCTACAAATAGAAGAAAAGAGAGAGAAAGAAGATGGAAAATAAAATAAAGACTTAGACCCTACCATTTCAATGTAAATGGCCCAAGCATACATATTAAAAGTAAAATATTGGCAGGGTAGAGAGAGACAGACAGACAGACAGAGACAGAGAGAGACACAGAGGCAGAGAGAGACTTCAAAGAGGCCAAAGAAGGGTGGCCACAGAAAGCAAAGGGAGAATGGGAAGATTGAACCTTGCCTATGAGCATGTATCTGGCTAATCCCCCCAAAACCACATATGGTGCCTGGGACAGACTGATCACCATTCCCATAGTCTGTACTCTCCTCCTCCTCCTCCTCTTTCATTGTCTTCTTTAACTCGGCACATTTTTTTTGTTTTGTTTTGGTTTGGTTTTTTGTTTGTTTGTTTTTTGTTTGTTTGTTTTTCTTCCAGTACCAGGAATCGAACCCATGACCTTGAGCTTGCCAGGCAGGTGCTGTGCCACTGAGCTAAATCCCCAGCCCCCACTAGGTGCATTTTTGCTATCAATCAGTGGATTGAAACTCCTGGCTTTGCTTCGTTCCCCATAAGAGCTTAGTTTTTAGGCTTTATCCCTAAGCATCCTATTACCAGCATCCTTAGTTCCACAATCCTTTATTTTTTCATGATGCTAATTTTCTACCCAGAATCAGCTCAACAGTCTACTTTATCTTTCATTGCACTGCAGCTGAAAATATTTACCAATAGGGTGAGTCGATGCCACTACAGTTACAGTGTCTGCTCTCAGCTAAGTTTTCAAGGCTCCTGAGCAAAGCTTTTCACCTCCTCATGACCCAGTCCCTCTTCCACTTCTTGTAAATGTAATTCCAACCTTCATGCCTCTTTATGCTCCTTACCACTTCTATCAAGAAAATAAAAACTATGGGACGTTTCTTTTTGTTACAAATTCTGTTCCTCACACAGTCCCAAACGTGCCTTCGTCTAGAGTTTTTCTTCAATCTTTATTAAAAGATAAGCTGTCCCTTCTGCCGTTTGTGGTTTCAATTTTTCCTTCTTGGGGGTGGGTTTTCTAACCATATCTTTTCTGTTTAAAACTCCCCTACGTCGTTTCCTCCTACAGTTCCTGCACCTCCTAGGAGCACGTGTGAAAAGCTGAGTACCTCTTTCACATCCTCCCATTTGGCTGTTCCTTGCTTTCTGGTCACACCAGGGCTTCTGTCTTAGTTACTGTTCTCATTGCTGAGAAAAAATACCTGACACCCAAAGTTAAAGGAGGGGAGGCTTATTTTGCTCACAGTTTGTACAGGTTTCAGTCCATAGTCAGTCTCCAAGGCCGAGTGGCATAGTAGGGGAGTATCACAGAGGAGAAACAGTCCATGGCAAAGCAGGGCAGGCAGAAGGCAGCAAGCAACAACAACAGCAGCCCTCTTCCTGTCTCTTAGAATTTATTCAGGCTACCCACCCTTAGGGCTGGAAGCACTCACCCCCTGAAGCCTAGCATCATGCTGTGACTCGATCCTAGGACGACATCCTTGTTCCCAGCATCTCGCACTCTGCCCAGCCACCTCCGAGAAGTCCCACCTACGGCCACATGGGGCTTTGGGGGGACATCTAGACAAAAGCCACAACAGCTTCTTGAAAGAATTGTTCCCGTTCTCCTTCTCCACCTTATAGTGCATCTTTCTTGTGGCTTCAAGAAAGAAAATTCACAAGCAGAAGTCCCCCAAACAAATAGGATCTCATTGCTTCCCATAAACGGCAAGGAGATGCACAAAGTATCTTTGAAGGTGCAGGCTTTTTCCTTCCTTTTACTTGCCATTCTGAGGCCAAATTTTTGTTCTCAGCGGCATCCCCTGTGGCCACCACTGTGGTCAAGCTGGCTGTCGCAGCTGTGGGAATCAGACGGTCACACAGCTGCTTCCAAAGACAGGAAGAACAAGTGGCAGGCGAGGACTCTTCTTCAGCACGGCTCCTGCCTCCTTTTCATCCAGGGAAAACCTTCCCTAGCAATCTTCTCGCAGTTCATGTCGGTCAGATCTGAGTCCCATGGGCACCTCTTCCATCGTGGGAAAGCAGGGAGTGTTCTCAGCCTCTGCGCCCTGAAGCATGCCTCGCCTGCGGTGATCCACAGAATCGGCCTCACGCACTCTCCTCTCACTTTTCTCCACTACCGCTCTCCCCAGACACCCTTCTCTTCAGTCTAAAATAATTTAAAGAGCAAATTAACAGAGAAATGATAGGACGTAGACTTTGCCAAGGTAGGAGGGAATCTCAGGAAGGTCGGGGCAGGGGATGACCAAGACGTGGTATCTTTATGTACTAATTCACCAAGACGATTACACTTACTATGAATCACCATCATACATTACACACAGAACAATAAAATGAAACGCCCAATGACCAATGACCGGGACAGACCATGCACTCTTTTATCCCCCTTTCTGCCTGAGCCTTCTTACGGACCTGTAACGTATTAACCGCTCCTCCCTCTTACAAATCTTCACTGGAATCAGTTACTTCACCTCCCCTGCGGGGCTGTGCCCGCTTCCTCTCAGCCTTCTGCTTTGCTTTTCCTCTATTTATGCTTTAAATGTGCTCGGCCTTCTTTGTTCTTGTCCCGACCCTACTTGCCTCCTGCCAGTCTTATTCCTTTTGGCTACTGAATCCTCTCAGAAAATGGAAGCAGTTATCCTCAAAAGGCACAAATGCACGACACTTGGCTCTATGTGTGTGAATTCAAGGCATTTGAAGACCCCATGAATCTCATCTGACACAGTCATGACAGAGTCGGGGTCCACTGCGGAGGTTGGGAGTGAGTAGAATTCTGGTCCTTTAGCCTATTTTTCATTAAAAGCATGGTTTCTCTTTCCTCAGGCACTTAAAAGAGGTTTTTGCTAAGTATGTTGACCCTTCGCGCAGGCCTACAAATGCCCAATAGATGGCTAACAATAGAACAAAACTCGATCTACAGTTTGTAAAGCTCTGGGTCACCGCTCTCTCGGCTCCGCCTACAGGCATGTCAGTCACATAAGGAGCTGCTGTCTGTCAGCCCTGCGTTCACCTAGCCTATCCCACTGCCTTTCAAGATGGGGGACATCCCGCAAGAGGCTTAGTTTTAATGCCCATTTCTGCTAATGCAAGGACGCTAGCCAGTGACACATCCCCCAGTAACTGGGAGCTGCCTGTCCCTTCTTTCTCTCTGTCCACCTCGATCATGTGGTAGTACAGACTCCAAATTCCGATCTTCTATAAAATCTCTCTCTGCTAACAGGCATCCCCGATGTCTCACACTGAACTTTTCCCCAAATAAACTTACCCTTTAATCACACCTCACTGCATTCCCCTGCACCAGCCCCCGCCCTCCCTCAGCCGGCTTCACTTGTATTTCATCAGGAAGACAGGTTCTACGTGTCCTTTTCTCATGCCCAATATTCCCATCTCCCACATTCGGTTGGCTAGGAAGCCCGCTCAAGTGCATCACAGAAGCTTTTTGTCCCGTTCTCTATTTCTGTGTAACATTCTGGATAAGCTGTCATCACTCCCTGCCTGATTATTACAGTAGACTCACACTACTAATACGCCCTTCAGTCTGTCCTCTCTGCTGACACCAGGGATCTCTCACTAAGATCAAATCATTGAAATTCAGTCCTCTTCCAGGTTAAAATCTATCTGTGATCCCCCATTCCAGCATACAACCCTGGTCCCCTGCTAGCACACCCATGTCTTTGTATCTCTGACTTCCAAACACTTCTCCATCCATAATTTGCTTTCAGAGACCTCACTGTACCCCTGTTCAAGCTCCGCCCTCGAGAGACACACCTGACGTGTTAAGCCACTGCCAGGAGCTCCTCATAAGTCTTATCTTTCGCCCTGCCAAGCTTTTGTCCTGAAATGCACATCTCCTCCTACTCTGCCTAGCAGATGCGGAGCCACCTTTCAAAGCAGAAGTCAAAGGTCATTTCCTCTTTTGCACACCCTCTGCTCACCTCTCTTCTCCTTTGTTGCACAATTGCTTATCACTGAACTTATCCCAGTGAGTAATCATTTCTGCTGATGAATCTACCTTCCTCATAATATTCCAAACTCTGAGAGCACAGCTCAGGCGTAATTCAGACAGCGATGTCAGCATGTTGGTGGGGGGAGCAGAGATTTTAATATACATGCTTTATTTTTAAAGTAGATTTCATTTGCTCAACCAATATCATGTACTTTTTATGTGTGAATAGACGTTTCTGGGGAAAAGAAAATTTTTCTTATATATTTTCATGGACAACTGTGACTCTAGAAACTCTAGTGTCTGCATTTTGGAAAATCCTGGAGAGCTGTTTGCTGAATACGACCGCGGTTCTGGTCTTTACGCTGGAGGCAGCCACTAGGGGGCACCATAGGAGCATATTTCTTTGCACGAGTTCAGGTGATTTGTTTTGGGACAAAAACTAGTTTTGAAAACAAAAAGCTTTTATGTCTACATTTTAATAGCCAGTTCTGATTTTTGAAAGCAAAATGGAGTATAAAGTTCTTACTCTTTGTTTCCAAGGAGAAATCAACTTCCCATTTTTCCTCTGACTCCAGTGAATTCTTCATTTAAAAAACATTGTGCTTGTGTCTCCAGCTGCCTTAAAACCATCTCAATAGAAAATGTGGAAGATAGAAAACTCAGTGGAATGAAAGATAATAGGAAAATGAAGATGTGGTTTGTATCCTCTGTTAGTCTGTTTATATTCTGAGGACAAATAAACAAATATGATTCTATAATTCTTTTCATTTCTTATCTTCGTATATATACCTATATATATGAAAAGCATGTTCTATATTAGCCATTACAGAAATGCACATTAAAACCACGTTAATATTGCTACACACCAGTCAGAATGACTCATCAAAACCAGTACCAATCACAGATAGTGGAGAAAATATGGAGAAACTAGATCACTCATATTGCTGTAGCATGTATGGATAAGTTGTAAAATGTAAAGTAGTGGAGCAGTTCTGAGAAATAATTTGGAAGTTTTTTATAAAAAAATTAAAAATGCAACAAACATACAACCAGTAATTTCAACCCTCTCATTTACCCCTAAAGAAATAAAAACATGTTCATATAGACCAGAGGTAGCAAACCTCTGGCATGAACACTGCAGTGGACTGTCTTTATCACTGAATCCTCTAAAAGGGGGCCGGGGATATATCTCAGTGGCATAAGCACCTGCCCAGCAAGCACAAGGTCCTGAGTTCGATTCCTGGTACCAAAAAAAAAAAAAAAGAAACCTCTAAAAGATTCACTACCACTGATACACACACCTGCATGTGAGTGTTCATAGAAGCTTTAGCTATAGCAGCTAAAAACTGGAAACAACACACATGTCTTTTGAAAATAAATGGCTAACAAACTGTGATGCATCCATACCAGAACGAGGACCCTTGAAGATGTGTACACTTTGTTTCTGCAACTTGTCATCACGTAACCCCAAGGGGCAAAAGCATTTGCATGTGTGATTAAGAGTGTGGGCCAACAGCCAGGAAAACACTCAACACTATTAGTCACCAAAAAGCCCAAATGAAAGCCACATTAGAACGTTAACATCTAAAACTTAAAATGCATATGGGTGAGAACGTGAAGCACCTGGAATGCTCATTCATCACCCTGGGAGTGATGCACAACAGTGCAAGCATATTGGAAACCATTTAGGTGGGATTTTTTTAAGAGATAAATATATACCTATCTTATGACCTGGTCATCCATTCCAGATATTTACCCAAGATAAATGAAAGCATGTGTCCACAAAAGGGCTTGTGTAAGAATGTGGACAAAAGCTTTTCTAGTGTAGCCACGCCTGGAAACAATTCTGATGTCCAGAGACAAGTGAATGGATAAGGAAACGATGCATAGGTAAATGACTCAATGGAATGCTACTAACAATAATTAACTACTCTGGAATGATGGGGTTGTTGTCTGTGTTACCATGGTGACAGCTATATGACTCTGCTCTTCTCAAAACCCCATTAAGTAAATTTTACTACACGCAAATTTCTAAAATTCAACCAGAATGGTATGGAGAAATGAAAGTGGGATATAGACTGTCACAATTGGATATAATTTTATTAGAAATGCACACATAACCCAACCAGAAAAGAGTAAAGAACAATAAACTGACTTAAATATCTCTGTTTAAAAATATGTTTTGAATATATAATTAACAACAAAAATGGTAAGCAAACACCATATTCTAGTAGGAAATTTTGCTTTTACCTGTTACAACTCAGGATTACTATGCTGAAGCTACTTCCAGAATGAGTAGGGTTGAACAATGTGGTAAATAAGCTGTAGATAACGAGAATCAAGCCTCATACTATTAGAAAAAGAAAACACAAATTCACAAAGGAGAGATGTGAGAGTCAACAATGTGGTGCTATGCCACTGGAGTCAGAGATATTAGTACAGCCACATGGATACTGGTGTGTGTGTGTGTGTGTGTGTGTGTGTGTGTGTGTGTGTGTGTGTTTACTAGAATCTGCATATCTACAGGTAAAGAGCTGTGTCTATGTACACAGATAGATGCATAAATAATGCGTATACATGTGTTAGAGAAAGATAGAGAGATAGATGAAACATGGATAGGAAGATAGATAAATGATAGATGGATGGATGGATAGATAGATAGATAGATAGATAGATAGATAGATAGAACATGGATAGATAGCTAGAACATCGATAGGAAGACAGATAGATGATAGAAGATAGATAGATAGAACATGGATAGGAAGATAGATGATAGATAGATAGATAGATAGATAGATAGATAGAATTTTCTAGTCCTGTTTTCCAATACAGCCTGTAGTCTGTGACACCCCAGAAGCAACAAACACATTTAGTACCCAGACTGGGGTTTCTAAATACCATTCTCCCATAATAAAAACTTGGCTTCAATGGAGAAATTATCAATTCTACCTCTTAAACAATGAAAATATAATTTGTAAACTTGAGCCTAAATCATAGTGTATTTAGTTCCAAAAAGTAAGGAAGCGATAAGACAGGTTAAAAATATACAGGTAGCCTGAAAGAGCTCCTAACGGTTAAAGCAGGAACACTGTAGACTATCCCATGATAGCAGTCATTTGGATCACAACCCAGAGAATAAAATATAAGTAACCATAAGTCAACTCTGATGTAGATAAACAAATCAATAAGTAGAGGAGAGAAGAAAACTCTTCTAGAAGAAGTCTAATTAATAAGTGAAGAAGAAATGGAAAAATAAACAGTACTCATTAGAATGAGAAGGAATCACTGCCAGAGGCAAACCCTCCTGACAACCGCCAGAAGTCAGAGCTCTGAGCCTTAGAGAGGAGGAGCTCTCCACACGGCCCCAAATTATCTCCCAGGAAATATATATTAAGCACCCTAGTAAGTGTAACGTAATTCCAAAAGGTCTTTTCATACTACGCCTTCCAGAAACAGAGCGTACTTCTCCTTGTCTGGAGTACAGGCTGGACGTAAGGACTAGCTACTAAAACAGAAAGCAAAAATGGAAAAACTGAGGACTTACAGTGAAAAAATCTGACAAGCGTCATCGAAGCAAGTGATCAACAACACTGAGACATACTGACAACATTCCCCGTCCATATCACGTCTCCTCCTGCTTGATATTTCCCCCCTAATTCATAACTTCCGTCCAGTCGTGAGAGACCAGACCTTCAGACAGGCTACAAAAGACCTCACGGGTGCTCTCTGAAAGTGCAAAGGTCGTGAAAGCTGAGGAAAGCTGTAGACAGCATCATGGATGGAGGAGACCGAGAAGACCTAACTACAGCACAGTATTGTAGCTTGGACCCTAGAACAGGAAAAAAAAATCATTAGTGGAATAAAATGGAGAAATGTAAATAAAACTTATGGTTTAGTTAATGATATTTTAACTTAGTTAATGATGTTTAACTTGTTCTGATCACTGTACTGTGGTTATGAAAGACATTAAAATAAGAAAAACCTGGGTATAATTTACATAAGAACCCTGAGTGTTTTGCATCCATTCAGTGAGCCTGTTATTTCAAAATAAGATAATATGTTATACAAACTTATAAGTATATTGTATACTAAAACAAAAAGATAATAACAAAGTACTGACAGACACAAAACATACGTGGAGCTCAAAAAATATGCTGAACATAGAACACCAGACACAAAAAGCCACGCATTCTGCCTAACTGTACTTATAATGGTCTTCTACAACAGACAAAAGCAATAACGACAGAAATCTTATCCTGTCCAAAGGTGTCCCTGGGTGTAGAGGAAGGGACCGGAAAGGGGCAGGAAGGACCTTCCTGGGGTCCTGGATTCACTCCATGCCCTATTTGAGGTGGTGCTGACATGAATGCTTACATTCGCAAAATCTCATGGAGCTAGGTACTTTAAATGTGTATTTATTATATGTGAATTAGACCTCCACAAAAGCTGCTTTTTTAAAAAATTAAAAATTATGGAATGGAAAAATGGGTTTTCTAAGCAGTATTTATAAAACATACCGAGAATAAATAAAACAGCTCTAATTTGATCAGCCAAGAACAGGCTTAGGTCTGTTTAAAGCTTCGAAAATAACCATAAGCCCCACACTGACCCTCGTGTTCTGAGCCCTGAAACCGGGAAATGTTCTAAATTTCCAGGAAACCAGGGTGAGAGCAGGCTGTTCCCACACGGCCAGCCGGTCCTGGCCTCCGTGTGTACTTGAGATGCATGTACAGCTATTAAAGCACTAATAAATGATCGGGCCTCATGGCACGGTGCACAAGCTCACTTTGAAGTTCAGACCACTTCCTTCCTCTGCTTGGACGCGCTGGAGGCCAAAGACTGCTGTGTTGTCCCAAGAGCTACCGAACTGACCAGAAACGAAGCTGGCAGGACATCCAAAGAGTTAATGCAAGCACATGCTGCCACAGCACTCACCCACACGTCCTGCCCCAGACAATACCCCTGGGGGGCCGCCACGCCATTGACGGGAAAAATTTGTTGGAAGGAAAAGAACTGAAGAGATAGGTGGGGAAAGTTGACTTTGAAAGCTCTTTCCCGGATTATGAGCACTGAGGGGAGGGGATTGGGATAGAGACTTGGAGAACAGAGCCTGGACTTAGGGGTCATGAGACTTTAGTTTTCTCTTCTGAAAAGTTCACTCCAGAAAGGGAATCTTCATGTTAAACCCCTCCCTGGAGATCTGCTAGGATAAATCTAAGCAAAATCTTGGGTTTTCATGCCTCCTCATCCAGCAGTTGGGTTTCAATGGGTTGCATCTCGCTTTGTTTGACATCTTCCTTTTTTGTGTGTATTATTTATCTCACTGCTTTGTATAATCCAGACCCTGTGTTCCACTCCTGCATCAAACTTCCCTGGAAACAGACAACTTTTAAGAGTGCCACAGACTCCCTAAAGAACCTCTAAAAACACCAGGCATGGTGGCGAAGGCCTGCAATCCCAGCACCCAGGAGGCTGAGGCAGGAGGATCATTGCAAGTTCAAGGCCAGCTTGGGTTACAAAGTGAGCTCAAGGCCAGCCTGAACTGCATAAGGAGACCCTGTCTCAAAAAGACCAAAAAAAAAGAAAAAAAAAGCATCTCTAAAAATGAGAAAAAAATGTGCTTTTAAAAACATTGCTTCAAAAAATAAATAATAAAAAAATTTAAAAAAAAAAACAAAACATTGCTTCTAGTTTGGAGTAACCAAAACCTCACAGAGAAGTGCAAATGTGATACAGAGGTTTTTGAAAGAGCCCTCGCAGACTGAATGTCAGTGCAGTGCTCCAATCTCCCGAGTGTTAGACCCCACAAGCAAGGACTCTGCCCCAACCGCAATGCAGCCATCAGAGTCAGGCCATGATGCTCACACTCGCACATTCCTACAGCAGTCTCCATGCCGTGCACAACCTTCACCAAGTGTCTTAACAACGCCTTTACAACAAAGGAATCACGTATTGCACGCAGTTACCAAGTGTCCTGAGAATCCATCAGTCTCTGCGATTCTTGACCTTCACGACCTTGATTCTTGCGGGTTCTAATTTCTCCCAGCGGGCCACCCTTAGCAAGTGGAAGCCTTCTTCACCCTGACACCACCCTAGCTCACCCCACCTAGGGTCACCTATGTAGGGTCACCCCACCTCCCTCCGCCCCATCCCTGGGCAGCTCTCACCCACTCGAGTTCCAGCACCCTGCTTGTACATGGGTGCCCCCTCTGCCTTGTGTGAGCTTTAGGGACCACACTTCCATCAAAGCTAAGATTTCCACACCCAGCCTGAATGAGGCGGAGGGTTAAGATATATAGGGAGTCCCAACTCCCCCCATGAAGGTAATCATTGTGTACTACAAACACGTGCTAATAAAGAGAAAAAAATTAAGAGATTGCTACACACTGCACAATGGTTTAGTCAACAGCAGACCAAATTCACAATGGTGGTCCCAAAAGACCTTATCTCCTAATGACGTCATAGCTCCCTCCGTACTGGTGCGTTTCCTAGACCACGTGCCCATCAGCAAGCCCTGCATAATTGCATAGTGAGAGAGAGAGAGAGAGAGAGAGAGAGAGAGAGAGAGAGAGAGAGAGAGAGAGACGCCTCCACAGCTTTGACACTTGCTAGCCCAAACACAGCTCCTGAGCTGTATGAATCCCAGCTGTTAAAAAAAAAAATAGTGATGGAGGTTGAAAAATCAACTCCCAAACCCTAACCAAGTCTTCAAGTTTTCTGCTTTCTTCTTCCTTTACAGAACTCTCAGGAGACTGGAACACAAAAATTACCTTTCAGTTAACAATTTCAGTTACTTAATAATTGCAGCCAGGGGACACCCAACTGCCGTCATAGCCAGGTTATCAGTGGCCTGGGACAAAGCTCCCGTTGCCTTTACTGACTTTATTCCTCCAAGAAAAATGCATAATTCTTCGTGTGCTTCCACTCTGAGGTGCAGAAAGCCGGCTGACACAGGTCCTGATGGCTCTCGGCTCCTAAGTCTCGGCCCTTGGGGTGGAGAGGTGAATAGTTCCCACCTCCAAGCAAACTCGGTGCCTACAGATGTCCTCTAAAGATGCCACGAAACACAGCCTAAGGGGCAAAGAAGGCTAGAGGAGGGGCCGAGAGCAGAGCAGGGCGTGCTGGCTGAAGCAGCAGGGACCCAAGAGTGAGGCGGCCCGCGTGACAGGCTCCGCTGTCGCCGCCAGCACTGCCCTCCTCTCTTCGGCAGCTCCATTTCCCACCGCCTTCTCACCAGCACGTGAGCACTTCTAGGCTTTTCCCGCTTAAAACACCCCCCTGCCCCGCAGTGTCGCAGTGTCCGAGCTGGGCGCCCTGCGTCTCTCAGGTCCTTCCCAGCCCATCTACTTTGGGAAAGAGGCCTGGGCACGCACGCTTCCCGCTGCCTCACCCCGCTCGCTCGTCTCAGCTCTGCGGGTTTCCCTCCTCGCCACCCTCAGGCGGGCATGGCCAAGGTCAGCGCTGACCATCCTGTTGCTAAATTCGACAGACGAGTATTTATCGCTCTGTCCCGCTTGGCCTTCTCAGCAGGATCGGCCCTGTGTGCCGCTTCCTCCTTTAGATGCCGCAGACCCTTCTCAGACCACGGCTCCCCCCAAGTTTTCGGATTCCTCGCCGGCTGCTCCTATCTGATTGCCTGCGCTTTACCCTCCCCTCCTTGGCCGAAATGTCTGAACGAGCACGGTCCTCGGCCTCCCAAGGACCCTCTGAACTCACTCCGCAGCCTTCAGCAAACACAGCCAGCCAAGCGAGCTCCGCGTCTCCTGCCCGGAGCTGGGTCCCGCACCCAGTTCTCTAGAGAAATCTGTCCGTGGGCATCTCGGTTCCACCCCGAGCAACGCTCATCCCAGCACGTGCGAACTGAACTCCGAAGCTTCCGCTCACGATCTGACACCCCTGTCCTTCTCGGGGGCTCGATGCGGGCTCCCACGCCAGGCACTGGATCCCTCTGGGATCATCATCTTCCCTCAGGTGCATCAAGCCCCGGCCATCGAATGAAAATTCGCGTCCCTGAGAGAGCCCGCACACGGACATCGCGCTTGTCCAGTGCTCCTGGCCTTCCCATCAAGGTGCTTCTACCGAACCTCAGCTCTGACCGTGTAACACTCTGCTTAAACTTACTCAAAGTTTCCTTAATGCCTAGAGAGGGAATGACGAGGTTGTTAGCAGAACCTTCGGGGCCCTCTTCGATCCAGTACCAATTAATGCCCCGGCTTCTTCGTCCAACCTCGTCCCTTGCGACGGTGCTTCCATCCCTCCAAACCACTTCCGGTTAGCCAGCCAATCATGTCTTTCGGAAGTCCCCACTTCAAGCACGCGGCCTCCTTAATGAAGAAAGGTGCCTCGCTCTGCCTCCCTGTACCCGGCCAGTGCTGCGCACCACCTGCAGGAAGAGCCCCCTCATCTCAACAGCTACCCCTCACCCTCACCCCCTGGCGTGAGCTCACACCACACCTTCCCCCTTAGTCTTGCATGCAAACTGCTTCCTTGCGTCTGTCTGCCCTCGGAGTGCACAGAGCCGTATGTCTCACTTCTCCTTTCTCAGGAGATGGCATTTTCCTCTCTCTTTAGAGAAAAGATCGAGTTTAAAGCTCAACTTGCTCAAACCACTGAAGTGTTTTTTTTTTTTCTTTTTAACACCTGTTTCATGTTCAATTTGCAACAGTGGTCTGCCTGAGCCCATTTCCAAGTCTGCTGGTATGATTGAGGAGTAATACGCAAGGCTGTGGTTTTCTCCAAGGCGAAAAACTAACTAAGAAGCACAGCTGGAAAGAACAAATGTTATCTGAAAGGTGTTCCGCTCACCAACCGCACATCCCAGGT